AGCACGTCAAGAAATTAGAGAAAGTGAAAACGTTTGCAACAAGACTAGTCCCAGAGCTAAGGGGATTGTCCTACGAAGAAAGGTTGAGGGAAATCGGCCTGACGACACTGGAGGACATTAGGGTCAGGGGAGACATGATAATGATATATAAAATACTGCGCTGAATAGACAAAGTGAACAAAGACGGGATGTTCCAGAGAAGGGACACGGAAACAAGGGGTCACAATTGGAAGATGAAGACTCAGATGAGTCAAAGGGATTTTAGGAAGTATTTCTCCAGTCATAGAGTAGTCAGGCCGTGGAATAGCCTAGAAAGTGACGTAGTGGAGGCGGGAACCATACATAGTTTTAAGGCGAGGTATGATAAAGCTCATGGGGCAGGGAAAGAGAGGACCTCGTAGCAATCAGCGAATAGGCGGGGTCATGAGCTATGAATCGACCCCTGCAACCAGAAATAGGTGAGTACAAATAGGTGAGTACACACACACAGTTAGGGACACTACCAGAGAGAGAGGGGAAGATGAACCAGCAAGACTGGATCTTGTGTTCTCACTAAGTAGCTCAGACATTGAGCACATCACATATGAAAGGCCCCTTCGAGTTAGTGACCACGTGGTTATGAGCTTTAAATATATCGTGTAGCTAAAAGTGGAGAGGGTAACAGGAGTAGAAAGGGAAAAGCCAAACTTTAAAAGGGGGGACTACACAGGAATGAGGACCTTGCTGCAATACGTACAGTGAGAACAGGAGGTTTTTTTTTTTATATATTTTATTTAAAACAGTGAGATACACAATGATAAATGTATATTAAAAACACACAAAAGAAAGCGGTTAATTTTACAATAATCTCACACGACGAACGATACCGTACAATATAATGGTAATACACCTTACACACAAAGTATTGACAATGGTTTTATACTCAGACACAACACATTATACATTATTAAAGAACATGTCTAACTATGTTGTATATACAAATGGCAAGCACACACGGGTAAGTATAATAATCATTGTGTTAAAAAACTAACATACACAATAACACACACACACAAGCACACTCATACACACCAACATAGACATAGGTATTAATGAATCGAGGACGAAAACATCCAAATATAACAAATACGATGTGCTATTTTACATCTAAACAAATAATGTAATCAATTACATGTAATATCATATATTACATGTAATAGGAAAACACATTATACAAATACCAATGATTGGTATACAAGAATAAAAAAGGCAAAACTCTTAACGTTCGGCACATACAAAATTTTTACATTTTTATTAATGTCATCATCACATTGGAGACATACATACAACATTGGAGACATACATACAACATTGGAGACATACATACAACATTGAAGACATACATACAACATTCACAAACACAAGACATTTACACACAATTAAACGCAGCTGACCAGCCCATTAGAATACCCAATGAACAAAGGCAAATTATCTCAAATCCTTTAACTCTAACGCTCTGTATGCAGACGGAAAATCTTCCTCCATCTCCCCTCATATACCAACTGATTTCGACACTTAGTTCTAAGAATTGTTCCCGCTAAAACCCGGATTCTGCTATTACCTTCAACATGCCTCATAGCCCATGACACATAAATATAATCGGCTACGACATACGACACTGCACGTTGTACACAGATGTCAACCCCACCCACATCAAAACTCAACACCCTAAGTACCGACAAACCTCCCCCCCCACCATTCGAATACCCTGCTTAACCACGCACGTACTATACCTAAATCTTCACAGAAATATACAACATGAAACGTTGATTCGTCCTCCCCGCACGCTGAACAACTCCGGTCCTCCTCTACACGCCGATTAGACAACACCACTTTGGACGGCAGAATCCCATGCAAAAAATTTAAAAACCACTTCGCGTACTCGAGGAAGGAGACATAACTGATGAACCCGCTTCCATATATCACACCACGCGTACATGGGGAACATTCCCTGAACTCTCACCTCAACTTTCACCATACCCACTGTTTCCAAAGTACTCAATTCAACGCTCCGTACGTCTCGCATGCACAGTAACACACGTAGCATAGTATCGCACCTGATTACATCTGCCCATCCCCACCACCTGCGCAGGTCACGATACATTTCTGTTAAACCACCATACCTGTCACCCAGTCGGAGAAAACGACGTTTCACATAACAAGCAATGACTCGGTCTCTTAAAGGAACAAGACCTAACCCTCCTTGACGCATTGGTGTCTCTACCACCGCTCTTGAGAGCTAGTCGCACCCTGAGCCCCACAAAAATCTATAAACTCTATTTAAAAGATGTTTGAGATCCTCCTGTATTAGTGGATACAGCGCAGCAACGTGCCAAACTTTACTATAAAGAAGAACATTAATTACTATCGCCCTTTGGTGTAGGGTTAAATGTCGTGGCCTGAGACTATTTATACGCCTCAAAACACTCTTTACCACCCACCCCGAATTACATGCCCTCGTCTTATCAACCTCTCTCATATACTGTATACCACATATGTTAACACAGTCAACCACCGTCCACGGCTCTATACCTACCTCCTCTCTCGCCCAATCTCCCAACTTCATAATCTTTGATTTTTCTTTGTTAACCCGCATTCCTGTTGCCTTACCAAATACATCTACAAGTCTTCCCACAAAACTCAATTGCTCCCTCGTACGTAATAGGACAGTTGTATCATCTACATAACCTACTATGACAGGTCGATCACTACCCGAACCCCACGACGAATCTACTCCCCGCCCACAAACTGTCCAATAAAAAGGGTCCTGCATGCAAGCAAAGAGCATTTGAGACATAGGGCATCCCTGTCGAATGCCTCTATTCAATTTGACAAAGTCTCCTAACTTCCCATTAATTTGTACTTGAAACCCAGCACCATTTTACAAAGAACGAGCCCACATGATGATCTCATTACCAAAACCCTGCCATCTCATAAACTTCCACAGCACATCCCTTTCTACACTATCAAAAGCAGCTTGCCAGTCTAAAGCCAAAACACCACCCCTGCCCCTCGTTCCGCATTCCTCGACAAACTCCCTGATATTCCCATGACCATCATACTTCATCCTACCTGGCACGCCAAACTGACCCTTATGTATTACCTTGTCAAACACTTTCTTAATCCTATTCATTAAAATTTTTGCATATAATTTATAATCACTACACATTAGTGATATTGGTCGGTAATCCTTAAGTGATACGGGTATGTCACATTTTTTAACTAACACCAAAACCGCCGTACTCTGTGACAAACCTAAACGTCCCCCCTCCTTCATCACATTGAGTAAAAGTACCAGAAAAGTCCTTATGACCTCCCAATGCTGAATATAAAATTCACACGGAATGCCATCAATACCTGGCGCCTTGCCCTTGCACATTCCCTGCAAAGCCTCCCACACCTCAGCTTCAGTTATAGGCCCACCCATGAGAAAGCGATCATTATCATTCAACTCACATCGTACATTCCGCCCCAATTCCCGTATTGTATCCACGCTTACATCTTTATTTAGCATTTTGAGATTAAACCATTTATCAACATAATAACTAATTCCTTCAGTTGTTGTTACAACCTGACCCTCACTATACCCTTCAACGCCATCCTGCACCACTAAACTCACGATTTCGGTCGCCTTCCTCCTTTGTGTCTGACTACGTAAGACACAAGCAGACGGCTTATCACCCCACACAGCCTCTACGACTCCACTCGAAATACGCGCCCCATCAAAAACCGTATTTTTCAGCACCTGGATGTGTTCCTTTAGATTGTCAATCTCGTCCACTGGGTAAATTCCAGATACCTCTCCTTGCGCATAACAGTGCTGTAAAGAACCCTCCAGGTACCTCAAAAATCCATACTCCAATCGAGAGGCCTCCTTACCCCGATGTACATAAAAATCCTTAATTCGAGGCTTCATAAACTCGTCCCATTGTCGCACTAAATCACTACCTTCCAAGGAGTCTACTCCCATAGACGTCCATAAGTGCGTGAAGAGTGTCTTATCTTCCGCACTTTGAAGTAAACGAGTATTTAACTTCCAATATCCTTTAAAACGAGTCGGGAGACCTCTCCAGTCGAGCTCTACGAGAACACCTCGATGGTCGGAGAAATACACATCTAGCACACGCACTTTGGTTACAACTACGCGCCGAGACACATATAACCTGTCTAAGCGCGCAGCATAGTCCTTACGCACGAAAGTGTGCTCAATCCCTAAGTCACTGCTTCCACTTACATCCACCAACCCCAGCCCAGACAACAAATCACCCAAAATAATCGAACAATAACCCGCTCCCCTCGGTTCTACGTCTTTACGGCGCACCACACAGTTCCAGTCGCCACCAACCACTGTTACATCAGGCAGGGATCTCAAACAGTACACAAGAACATCGTTAACAAAAGTATTTTTAATATTAACATCATGTTCAGCTGGCCCATATACTCCTACAAAACCAACCCGTTGAGTACCCCACTCACCTGTGACGCATACCATGCCCCCCCACCTCCTTCCTCCCAATGTTTCATCACGAGCAGGCTGGTCACTTTTATCAACACAGCCACACCACCTTTCAAACGACTCGAGTGAGCCATATAAACATCATAACCATCTATCGCAAACGAACTTCCAACTTTATGATTATGTTCTTGCACGAAACATACATCTACTGCAAGGCAATGCAACCACTCAGGAACCTGTACTTGCTTTCTGTTATTTTTCATACCATTAATATTTATGGTTATACACCTAACTTTGCTAATGGTGGCTTTCCTCGAGGGACCACCACACCCTTTTTCCCTTTACGTTGACTAATGCCTAAGGCGCCACCTTTACCTTGTACATTCTCTGTTATATTACTCGCTGTCCTGGAACCACGAGATGCCCCACCCGTGACTTCCGACCACGTCTTCTTCCCAGAACGCTGACCAGGGGTCAAGACATCGTTGGAGTCGGGCGGGGTAGCCGCACGCTTCCTAGAAAGAGCATCCTCAACTTTATCAGGACCTGTAATGTTCTCCTTGTGAGCTTCTACCGCAACAGTATGAACTCTCGGACCTTCTACCTCACCTACGTTAATTAACTGATCGACATCCTTTAACTGTGTTCTCTCCTCATCTGAACACTCCAACGCAGGCACACACGGCACAGAATCATACTCCTGTGAAGCTAAAAGGTCGCTCAATGTCAATACAATGTTAGCTTCCATGTCAGCATCCTCTCTTGCTTGAGGGCTCTCAAGTCTACCATGTTCTACCACATCATGGTTGACCATACCAGGTAGAGTCACGCAGGATGACTCCACGAGCATGGCCCGATCCACCTCATCACCCCACGATTTCAGGCGCGGTAAGTCCTCGACTACTTCATCTGCCAGAATCCGACGAGGAGCCTCACCATCCGGACGACGACCATGTCCTGAGGGCGGCTGGCGCTTAACGCATTGTGCAGCAATGTGATCCAATGTGCCGTAAAGGCGACAAGTTCGTCTCTGTCCAGGATACGTAACATACACCTGGGTACGGAACTCCTCTAGGTTTATGTACGAAGGTATTGGTTGGCGCAGGGTCATTTTCAACGTGAAAGACCCTTCTTGTAAACCAGCAAAGTGGCCATCAGACCACCGACCCATAGTAACCTGGTGGATCGTCCCATAGTATTTGAAGGCGTCACGTATGTCAACTTCGTTAGCCTCAAAAGGCACGTTTCGCATACGTACCCACGTATAATATTGTGAAACGTCGTGCAACTTAACTGTGACTGCTGGGGTGACTTGCTTGCTAACATCCTGATACTTGTTGACAATCTGCTCGTAGGTCTTGGTATCACAAAACTTGACGAAAATCCGGGATAGTCCATTTAATGCAACACCACACAGGGATTCACGCTGGATGCCATATACATCGCGGATGATCATCGGCACCAACACATTAATCGATGCGCTGGGGATTGTGCCCTTTATGAGGTCAATACACACAGTATTAACTCTCCTTCGAAAACCAGTTGCCATTGTTGTTGTCGTCGCAAAGCTCCTCCACCAGGTGTCGGGACTGAGGAGAGACAGCTGACGACCGCTCAGCACAGCGTCTGAGCAGAGAATGGTGTGTGTGAGAACAGGAGTTGGTAGGAAAATCAGTAAACGAAATGATGGACTTTGTAATAACAAAATGCAGGGAGGCAGAGGAAAGGTTTGTTCCCAAGGGTAACAAAAATAATGGGAAGGACAGAACGAGCCCTTGGTTTACCTGAAGGTGTAGGGTGGCAAAAACTAAGTGCTCTAGAGAATGGAAAAAAGTACAGAAGGCAAAGGACTCAGGAAAATAAAGAGATTAGTCGATGAGCCAGAAACGAATATGCACAGAGAAGGAGGGAGGCGGAGCGGCAGCATGAAAATGATATAGCATCAAAAGTCAAGTCTGACCCAAAACTACTTTGCAACTGTGAGGGAAAAGTAGGAGTGAGTGGGGTTACGGTTGTTCAGGCAACCAGGAACCATTAGCGAGTTACGTCGCGTGCACCCCATTCCCTCTGGCGGGCTGGGGCGAAACTAGTTCTTGGTGTCTGATTTGTTCAAATTTCTACTCATGGTAGTATTGACCTTACCTGGTGTAGGTTGAAGTTTGGAGTCACTTCACCTCCACTCTTCTCCTAATCAGGTAGGGTGATCCACCAGGAGTATTACTGTTATTCCTTTCTTTTGTTTGCTGGTTACCAGTAATGATTTTGGCATTTATCACTCTTTTTTTTCCATTCTTAAATGTTATATTATCATGACCATTGGTAACCAGTTTATTTTTTCTTATTACCAGCTCTGTTCCTGGCATGGTCATCCAGGATAGACACAAGATAAAGGAGCAAGACATTTGTCAATGGGACTTATTAACATTATTCGACTACTACCGGCCCTTACCTGTTCTACTTGTGGTGCTCCAACCAAGTGGTAGGAGATTCCAAAACATCAGACTATCACCAATCCGCCCAGGATAACCTACATCATCATTAATATTAGAAGATCTGTCCAGGGCCTTACCTACTCCTACCCAACTATAAGAACCAAAGGCCATTTTTTTTTTTTATTTAAATTTTAAGTAAAATCCTCAAAAGTCATTATTCTTATTTTTCCTAGTCGTTTATTTATTTTTCCATTAGTTTTTTGTTCAGATGGAAGGCGTTCCACTAACATGGCGACCCTGCCAGGATACGACTCTTGAAGCGACATCGTCCTGATGGTTCAACTGGTTGTGAGTATAACATTTAAGATGGAAGAGGGTGAGTTAGTTGTCATTACTGCTAGTCTGGTTGACTTACCGTTGTTTGGTTCTAAGGTTCGGTTTAGAGGTTTACCTATTTGTTGGACCTGGGGAACTTTGATAATAACCACTCCTGTGTGAACCGTGTGTATTTTGCTTAGTGAAGGCTATTGGGCCCACAAGTGTATTCTTCCAGGGTGAAATATTTAGTTCATTTTCTACTTTGGGAAGTTTAAAGTGTACGGACTGTGTCCCTCTTTTGTAACAGACGTTCCTATTAGCTTTAATTAAGACAGTTGAAGTTTGGTGCGTAATATTTCTTTTTTAAAGATGGATTCTTTAGATTTCTGGTTGAAAGCTGGAAAGGAAATGGGATTTACTGGACAGAGCCTTGATAGTTATATAACTGCTAAAATGGCTGTTGAAGAGAGAAAGGAACAGGAAAAAGAACGGGAAAGATTAGCTCGAGAGGAGAAAAAAGGAACAGGAAAGACTAGCTCGGGAAGAGAAAAAAGGAACAGGAAAGACTAGCTCGGGAGGATAAACTAGAACAGGAAAGGATAACTAGAGAAGAAAGAGTTCAGGCGAGAGAGGTAGCCTTCAAAATGAAGGAAATTGAAGAACAGGCTAAGCAGAGGGAGTTCGAACAATCAAGGTTGGAATTAGAAGCGAATAAGATAGAACTATCTAAGCAGAAAATAGATGAAGGGGTACTAGAATACCCTTCCCAAGAACCAAATATTAGGATGCCACAAATACCACCTTTTTCAGATCAAGATGACATATCGGCATATATTACTCGATTCGAGAGTACTGCTACTCTGTGTGACTGGCCATCAGATTCTTGGGCTACTAGGCTTGGCTTACTACTGTCAGGTTCAGCATTAAAACATCTATTCCACCCTACCCTCTGATGGTATTTGTAGTTATAGCCTGATGAGGAAAGCTATACTTCAGGCTTTCAAAAAAAACACTCATCATTACAGGTCCGAGTTTAGACACATTAAAATAACTCCAAATCAAAATTATATGCAATTCTTAACAACATTTTTCAGATTATTTGATTCGTGGATTGATAGTGCTGAGGTCGACCACGATTTCGAATCTTTACGAGACCTGATGGTAAGAGATCAATTCCTTTCTTCTGTAAACTCTGATTTACGAATATTCATTAAATAAAGAAACATTCATACGGCTGCAGAAATGGCACAAGCCGCTGATATACATGCGTGTGCCCATAATAACTACCCTAAAGAGCGTAGCAGATATAAGTCTGTTGTGCCTAAGCAATCTGAGGGATCCAAACCCTCCGTACCGAAGAATTCCACGGCCTTCACAGTGAAGTGCTTCAACTGTAATGAATGGGGTCATAGACGGCCCGACTGTCCTAAGAAGGTGAAAATATCAGTGCTTCACTGAGTCTAATATAAATGCACCTTTTAGTGAAGGTACAGTAAATGGCATGAACGTGTCAACAATTCTTAGACACTGGATGTTCCTGTATTGTTATCTCAAGTAAGCTTTTCCCTAACCTAGATTCATCATGTTGTAAGTCCACTAAATTAACTGACTACTTAGGAAGAAGCGATTCTTTTCCAACAGTCAGATGTTTCATTAGGTGCAAATGGTTCTCAGGATGGGTAGATGCCGTAGTTGCCCCGATAACCTCGTGTTCTGTTTTAGCTGGGAACATACAAGTGACTACTTTCCCATATGAAAAGGACTGTTTGGAATTTGGAGTTTCCAAGGAAGGGTTAGAACCTAATACTTCTGTTTCTTCACAGATAGCTCCAGAAGAGATTCAGTTGGATAACTTAAATCAGAGAGCTGATACTTACGAAACTCCGGTAACACCTTTAGTAAGTCAGTCACTAAAAATGAACAACGCAGACACCAGTGGGAAACTGTGTGACACAATCTCTTCAACAGGACACGATTAACGTCCTTACCAGAGCACAGTCTAAGGTAAAACCTATCCACCCATTAGTTCTTTCCATAGGTAAACCAATTGAGCTGTCTCACATGGATTTAGAGGGTCTTCAAAAGACTTGTCCTTCCTTAGAGGAATCTCGGAAGTTAGCTTTAAATGGCAATGTGATACAGAGAAAGAAATTTTCTTAAAAGTTTGAGTTCAAACACGATCTTTTGTACAAGACCATAGTGTCTGCGGACCAATCCAATGACGTTGGTCGAAGCCTGTTAGTCATTCCGCAAGATTGCCGAGAAACTATTTTAAAGATTTCTCATGACCTACCAGTCTCTGGCCATTTTTCACATAGGAAAATCTATGATAAGATAAAGGACCTATATTTCTGGCCTAGTATGTCCTCTGACATCTATAAGTACTGCAGATCATGTCACTTATGTCAGCTTTCCACGCAAAAGGGCAGAACTAGGAGTTCCTATGGTAAAGATGCCAATTTTCTCAGTCCCTTTTGCAAGGGTTGCAGTAGATATAGTTGGTCCTATCACTCCTCGTTCATCAGGAGGACATAAATATATTTTAACTATGATTGACTATACGTCCATAGAAGTCGCAGAAGCCTTATTTTCTATTTTTTCACATGTAGGTATACCTCGCGAAATTCTGTCAGATCAAGGGGCACAATTCACTTCAGAATTAATGGAACAGGTTTATCAACTTGTGGGTGTTAAACCTCTTTTCACTACACCTTACCGTACAATGTGTAACAGAAGAGTGGAGCGACAACATGCCATCCTAAAGTCAATATTAAAGAAACTATGAGTAATACTGAAGGCTGCTCAGTGGCTCTTGCTGCAGAGCGATCCATGAGCTGAGCGGTCCATGCGGCAGAGCGGTCCCTCCTGAAAAGGGCTGCGGCTGAGTGGCTCCTTTTCCTGAGTGGCTCCTTTTCACACGTGTATGCTAATGACCTTGACCTCGCCCTCGAGACCACCTCGCCCTCAACCCCCCACCCACGACCCCCACCCACGACCCCAACCCGCGCCCCCCTGCGGCCCCCGCCCCTCGTGCTGACCCACCTGCCCCGCCGTGCCCTCACACCCGCCCGCGCCCCTCGCGCCCGCCCGCGCCCTCGCACCCACCCGCGCCTTCTGCTGCGCCTTCTGCAGCGTCGTCCGGATCGCCCCCTCTCCCCGAATTTTTTTCCGATTTTTTTTAATTTTTTTTGAATTTCATTTTCTTGTGATCTCCATCTCCTCGGATCAAGTTTTGAGGTTCCCCCTCCCACTTTCACCCCCATCCCAAATTTTTTCGAATTTCATTTTCTTGTGCTCTCCTCGGATCAAGTTTTTGGATTCCCCCTCCCACTTTCACCCCATCCCAATTTTTTTTGGGAATTTCATTTTTCTTACGATCTCCTCGGATCAAGTTTTTTGGATTCCCCCCTCTGCGGGTAAGCATTCAAAATGGACTCCCACTTGCATCCCAAGTATTTCTCCTCCATCTCCTTGGATCAAGGTTTTCTCGATAATACAAAGACTCCATCTCCTTGGATCAAATTTTTGGGTACCCCTCCTTCCACCCCCCCAAATATTCCTGCTTCATCTCCTCGGATCAAGTTTTTCTCGATATCAATAATACAAAGATTTCCCCCACCATCCACTTCTACCCTCTATGTCCAAGTATTTCTCCTCCACTTCCTCGAATCAAGTTTCTTGGATTCCCCCCTCTCTGGGTAAAGCATTTCAAAATGGACTCCCACTTGCATCCCAATTTTTTTTTCTCGATAATGCAAAGACTCCATCTCCTTGGATCAAGGTTTTCTCGATAATACAAAGACTCCATCTCCTTGGATCAAGTTTTCTCGATAATACCAAGACTCCATCTCCTTGGATCAAATTTTTGGATTCTCC